TTTCAGTATAAGCAACTTCAAGCAATATCAACATCACTTTGGCCCAAACAGTACAATTAAACATGTCCGGCAGCATCATGACCACACTGGTAAATCATCTCAGATGAAGAGAACATGTCACTCTGTTATCAAAACATAATATACCGAATCGGCCAGCATCACTCTAGTATATAATAGTTCTATAGCAAAACCACGAACACTTCACGAATCTTGATCTATAGTATCAAAGAGCATCTAACCTCAATTATATAAAATTCAACATACTACACATAGAAGAACATTAGCAGGAGTATATCACAAGTACACTGCATCACTTTACTTTGGAATAAGTTTAAGGAAAGAAGCCTCAATGAATGTATTGGCAGAGACTTAATGCTGACTAGACATATCTAGGCAAGAAGTCATGATAATTTCCTTTAAGTGTATTTAATAACAGCCTCAGATTAAAGGAAGCACCAGCGGACACACTTTGTAGAAACAATACCTTGACGCACTAAAATCTCAATGTAGCCAACCCAGACCAGGAGCAAAGTGTCAGCAGTTGCATTCTACAGAACATCGCTCTAGCATTTTGGCTTATTTGGAATGATTTTGGATCACACTATACGCCCAGACATTTTGCAAAGAATGCTATGCTAATCTCTTCGAAACTTCATTATAGTAAAAAAAAAAAAAAAAAGAAAAAAAAAAAGAAGGAAAAACAGTAGTAAATACATTTCATGACTAGTATAAATAAGATTTTTCTGCCAAATCAATTTGGGTAAGAAAATATAACCATGTCAAAAATTCTCAAGTCGATCAAACAAAAAAAAAAAAAAACCAATATTCGAATCAAACTAATCGAACTTGAAAAAATCCCACAACATAAGAATGTTGAATCTCATCTTTTACACGAAATCAAAACTGGCAGAAATAAATCAGACAGATTAATGCTTGGAATAGGAATCTCATAGATAGGTTATAATATGTCTCAGAAATAATTTCAGATTCAAGTGTCACTAGTTAAAAAAATCACAGTCATCCAAAGGAATCTAAGCTTACAAAGACTGACCTACTCAATCATGATTAAGAAGGTTCACCATGGGAGTATATTCTACAGATCCACAAAGCTTGCACATGAATTGGCGTACAGAAAGATTCCAATCTATAGTTTCACTATATGGATATTTTTATAATGTCATAAATAACTGGACAAACCAAAATGATATAATACGTTGTATACATAAACAAGTTCTGGAATTAGAGGCCTAGCATAATGCATCTTACATATAGACTACAGTTTCTTTTTATCCGTATCAAAAAAAAAAAAGAAAAAAAGCTTACAATATTGAACTATCAATGCAGATGGTCGAATGTC